AATTATGAATAATTGTTCGTTCATCGTATTTAAGTGACTTCTGATGCACTCAGTATTACATGAAATTATTCAACAGCCACTTTAATTTATAAACATTGTTGAAGAGATTAATGCAGAAAACTACTCAAGACAGAAATAATTAAGAAATATTCTTGTTACTAGGTGGATATACAATATTTACAAACATAATTTTTACCGTTAAACAAATTTTAATTATAATTTAAATTATTTTTTGGACCCAGGTTAGACAGAGTGAACAAGAAATGAAATTTTATTTGTTTAACATACTGAAATACTTTTTGGGTTTTGAGTTCTTAGAGCTGAGCAGTTTAATTGTTGAGCCTTCATTGTGACTCTGGATAATATGCATAATTCAGCTGGTCAACCATTGAAAAAGTGAAAACAACTGACAGTTCTTTATCCTAGTTTGTGAATCTTCGGTTGTTCACATACCCCGAATAGTGAGAAAAGTATGACTAACGGTTCCACCAGACTGTAATTTTATGTTTTAGAAAAGTTTACAATTATCAGTATAGACACATAAGTCAAATTCTAGGCCAATTTATAAATTCAGAGGTCCAACCTCTTTTTAATGTCATAACGCTTTATGCTTAAAATATTCATCCGAAATTACTTTTTTATTGAAAAACATTTAAACTTTTCATATAGCTTTGTTATATAGTTATGATAATCAGTGGTTAAGTTAATTTCACAGTCTCATCTTCCATTTACGTTTTTTTTGTTGTGACCGTCAGAAGTTTGTTTCTGGATAGAAAATAGGGAGAAAATATTTTTAAGCATACGAAATCCATTATTTTCATGTAGCGCTTTAAGTGGGATGATTTAAGCTTAGGCAATTTCACGAACAAGTTGCATACTTCAAACCAGATTAGAGCGAAGAACAGCCTTGTCAAATCTTCCATAGTTCGAAAACTACCTTATTTCTGATTGAAAAATATAACCAAACTTATCTTATTTCTCATTAGTTTGTTGAAATTCGAATGACATTTCAACACTGGATACTATTAGCACCAGCAGGAAAATAGTATTCTATTTTGGAACTTGCAGACAATTCTTAATCAAACTGATTGGAGCTCCAGATAAAAAAATACTACTGACTTCTAATCTAGCGGCCATTTATTTTCTGCACATCAACTGTAAAAATGATTAGAAATTTCAGACAGGTTCGAAAAATGTGTACAGTTCCTTAACAGTTAATTACTCTCAGTTTGGGTAGAAAATCCTTAGATTTATAGTATCCTTAAATCTCAAGTTGAGAATAACAACCAACTTGGTAAATTTCAGCAGCTTATCTCTAGACACATTGAAGATAGTAGTTATTCATTGGGAATGCGCGCTTTTACATTGACAAAAAACCATATTGAGATTTTGGCATATCTGTTATGTAATCAAAAGCAAAACGGCTGGGACTCGTTAAAAGATATTAACTATTAGATGTATTTTATTCCGGTACTGCGAAATCTGAAAATTAGTAGATAAGTTTACACAGTCCTATTTTCTAATGACACATATCCGAACAGTTGAACTAAAATTATCTAAAGAAAGACTAAAAGATGTGAAAAGGGACTAAACCAGTGAAAACAGTTCGGTAATTAAAGTAAATTGAAGAACAAATGGATTTAATTAACTGCAACCAATTTTGAGCTGTGTGAGATAAATATTCTCATCATTGCTTTATGTAACCAAGTGAGTACCAATCTAAGTAGTCCACCGATTTCTGTATGGTTTAAACCATCATTAATTGATATAATGGATGATCAGTTTGTCTTGATTTGGTTATAAATGTTCTTATAGCCCACTTTTATTTCGCTCAGCATTATATGCTAACGAGCCCATCCACTAATACGCCTAGATTTAAATATCTAATAAATCATGAATATTACTGAAACTGTAGTGAACAAGGACACTAGTGGGAACAATCGGATGTATTTAACACAAAATTACAGGACCTGTTAATAAAATCTAACAATCATAAAGTAAATGCCTGATTTGCAAATTGTCCACCAATTGTCTCAAAATGACTCAGACTTCATTGTTCTTGCATTTTCATACAAATTGCATCCTATTTCCATTCTTTACTGTTCGATCCTTTTGTCTCTCTGCTGCCAGACCTTCTGTTCACAACTAACATCATATACTACTTATGTCACTGTAAGTAGCACACACTACAAAACTGAGTGGCATTTTAACGAACTAATGATCATTTATTTCTGGCTTACCTTCTCAATAACTATGTTCCACAGCTGTATTCTAATTCTCAGCGTTGTTCAGTATTCAGACAACTAACTGACATCACATACTCTGACTTTGTATTGACGCTAAGATATCATCGTCGGTAAACCTATTATACCAAATACGTCGCTTGATGTTAATGCAGTAATTTAACAATTCCAAACGATAAATTACTGATCACTGAATTAAATTTCTGTACAGAATAATATCATCGTAATTCGTATGTTGAAAACTAATACTAAATATTCTAAAAATTCGTCCAAGTCTTTTTTAGATAGTCAGATTCATTGGAGAGCTACCGTTTAATCAAAGCATATTGTCTGGATAATATAGAGAACCAAGGATATCCTAACACAAAATCAATACGTGACAAAGTTAAGTGATCAAAGTAATACATTCAAAAAAACTTTACTGACTAAATTGACGTCATTGGCTAAAACCAGCTTTGTAACGTCTTATCTGTATACAGTTCATACAACTAATTAATGTAAATAGAATGAATGTTGCATATTTGAAAATAGCTCACTTAGATTAAATTATATTGTTTTCGTCTCGAGTTTACCAACCAATTAGTTATTATACTGGTTACAGATCATAATCACTATGACTAAGATCGCCTATAAACAAGTATCATATTTAATATTTGAGATACTAATATTTGATTGACTATACTTTTATTTTCGTGTCTATTTTTTCTCTATTTAATACAAAACTAACAGATATCTATTTGAATAACATAAAACAAAAGCTTTAAACTTCTGCTAAAGTTTATGTAAGAAATCAAGGGTTGACAGATTTAAGTTCGAGATAGACTTATATTATATCAGTAATAATTATATAGTTTAACAAAGAAGTTAAGAAATAAATCGATTTTCATTCTTATGCACTATAAAGTAATTCTTATGTTTGTGGCTACTTTATTAACAGTGCTGATCAATAATAACCTTTATAATTGACTAGTCTTGTTAATTGTTTCGGTTTAGGCTTAAAAAATACGTATAAACCTACATTATGTAAAGCTTTTTTTCTAATTTAGGTTGTTCGGACTAATTGAAATTAAAATTAATTTCAAGAATAAGTATTGATTAACAAGACCACATTAAATTTAGATACGATAGAAGAGGTAGATTATGCAAACAATTTTTTTAATGTATGGGATCAACCGCTATTGATCGAAAAGTGAACTCTTATTCAACAATACGTATTTTTTCGATATCATTTATAAGTTGATGAGTGCAAACGTCAAACACAGTCGGGAATTCCCACTCTGTATTTCATCAGACGACTATACTTTACTTCATCCGCCAAAAGATCATACTGAGTTGATGTAAACAGCCGCGACAAACGTCCGGGGTAAAATTGCGAGCTACCGTTCATTTCTGCTTACAATGCTTGTGGCTCACTGACAGTATCAAGGCAATTAGCACAGGATAGACATATGTGAAACCAGTCTGATCAATTACAGTTTTAAGAGTCAGTGACAGGATTCAAATAATCAATACAAATGAATTAAAATTCATCCCATATCACATGCCAGTAGCTAAAGGATAACGCTGTGTGGTTTGAATTGAATGGTGTTTGCTTTGAATCCCGGAGGTGCATCGGCTCTGGGATTCAAGTATCCCCGGCTGACGAGTTCCGAATGGGGCGAAACGCGAAAGATTGATTCCTTTGCTAGCCACCATTGATTTCTACTCATAAATTTGTGACCGCTGTTTTTGCAAAGGTTTCATATTTAGCCCTTAGTAAACTCTCACTTGTAAGGTAATGAATATTGTAAGGAGGAATATCGAGAAACTGTGATTGACACATCTAGTAGAAGGCTGAGGCATATATTCTGTTTATCAACAGATAATGGTCTGTACACAATGATAATGATTGAACCTGAAAGAAATCGTAGACTAAGCCAGTGTTCGAACCACCCACTCCAGGGCTACTATGTTTTCGTAGATCAGTAAGCTAAATTCCAAAAGTTGGCCAACAAACTGGTTTCATCGCTACTCTCCTCACTAAGATCTACTCTCTAAGAAGAAGCTTGTGTAATAAACTGTAGCTTTTATTCCAGCTGCTATACATATAATAGGTAAGAGAAACATGTAGAAATATAGTCGACAACCCACCTGTTTACCAATGGGGTTTGAAGTTTGATTCATAGGGCTATATTTTGGCATATTAGAGAGCACTTGTTGAGAATCTTCAATTAATTTATTACTTTCACACAAAAATATCAAACTGCTAACAGAGACTCACTTCAAACAACTACAGATCTATTTATAGTGAAACTAAAAAAAACTACTTATTGAAGTGCGGCTTTTGTTAAATCTATCCATTTTTAGATTACAGTGCAAACTGATTGACAAAAGGTTGTTTAAATACATTTAGAGGAATAATAGAAGCCAAATGGTTTGATTTACTTCATGAGCAAAACTTCTATGATCGAAGCGATCAAAGTGAAACAGCTTTAAAGAGAACTAGCAATAAAAGTTTTCCTCAATAGATATATTATTCAAAATATCAGAATGATAATGGTGAACAAAATGATCATAAAAACGTATGTCAACTCTAAGCTAGTGGAAACTATCCAGAAACTAGATAATAATTATTTATATTTTGATTTTAGTAAGCAAACAAAAATAAAATGATAAAAACATTTTAACAAGTCCCGGAAATATCAAATATAATCAGAGTGTACTTTATAAACGAGATTATTACATTTACTGATTAATGAATGAATAAATTAAACTTACCAAGACAACGCACTATTCTATGCAATTGATCAATATCAGAATCACCAGGGAATAAAGGATCACCTGTCAACATTTCTGAGGCAAGACAACCAATAGCCCAAATGTCAATTGGTCTAATGAAATACAATAATAATAATGATAATAATAAGTAGTGCTTTTATTATTGATAATGGATGTAGTAAAGAGCTTTATTGATGCAACATAGATTATGATGTTCAAAAAACTTGTTCAATGTCAGGAGAAAAAGACACAGATGAATCAAATAATAACAGACCACTGATAATATTTTAACAGCTCAAGTATTATACTCTTTTCCTGCGTTTAATAATGAACGTTTCTGTTCATTTTTAACCTTCCAAGCACAGTAAAATGTACTACCAATACTAGAGAGGTACATATATAAAAATGAAATTCTGTCGGCTCAACAAATATTGACAATTTTAAGGAAGAAAAATTTTAACTTAGGGTAAATATGTAACAATTTTCCTACAACAGACTAATGTAATAAAGGCATTTACTTTAATAAACCAGAAAAAATAACTTGTTCAGTTTTACTAATGAATTTAAAACAAATATAGTCTTTGTATTTATAATTCCCAAAATCTAAAGAGTAAACGATCAGTGAAAAAATAAATTACAGAATATGGTGACGTTTATGGGCAAAATCATATACATAAACCCTTACCTAGAAGACCTAAGTTCTCATTGACGTTATTCAGTCTAATTTATTTAATGTATATATTGATGTGAGTTACTTTTTCCACCGAAATAATACTATTACTAGCAAGCGGATATAAATTGTTGACAGAAACTACAAACATTTACAAAGATAAGTGTTTAGAGAACTAATATGTAGAAAACAATCAAATAGATAATGGATTATGTAACAAATTGTCTAGCTAACCATTAACTTCTAACATTTTCGGTAAATAAATATTTCATACTAGTAGTATAAGATTCATTATTTATTTTGTGTGTAATAAATATCTTCGTTGGTCTAACAACTTTCCTTTTTTACCTTCTTGATGTTTAAACCGCAGATCTTGAGTTTATTGGCATATTTCAAAAGTGAACAAATTTTTATCGATACAAAAGATAAATTGTAGAATCACGACACTTGATTAGTGGAGAGAGATTTCAGCAATATATGTTTTACTTCAAGCTACCCTATAATTTTACCAACAGTTTTATGAGATATACTGTACATATCATAAATAAATAATAAAATATTGTACTGCATTGTCAATTTATGCTGAACGTCTAACTTAATAATGTTAATCTTATGCGCTAATCAATATAAAACAATGATGTCGTTAGTTCAGCTTTCCCAGATCATCAAATATACGCATTGTTCATAAAACCCTTAATTTTCAAAAGATTCACAGACGTTCCTTAGATTCAGCATTCTTCTGCGACCGAACCCAAGATCATGTAAAACATTTTAGCCACATTCAGTCAATAAATGACTCATGAAGCAACGTCCAACGGCCTGGAAATATTATTAAAATGGATTAAGGGAAAGAGAGAAATCCAAATCAAGAATTTATACGAACCCATAAAAATGCACCGTCCGCAACGTCTTCGATTCTAGGACATGTCACCTCATACTCCTGTTATTGGTCAAGATAACCACGAGGACTCCAACTAAATATTCTGCAAGTTGGCCATGGATCAGACCAATAATTTGTAGACTACTACCATGAACTGGTTTGGCTTCCCACGAATTTCTTAAACCTGACTCCTGTAACATTCTACTCTTTGTGTTGATGTAAGAAGTAACTAACAGTCAGTAACAAATGTTCCAACCATCTCAGTCGACATAAATTTATGGTCTGAGTAACTAACTTTTCATGGTCAGGTTTGAAACTTCATTGACATTTTGAGTACTTTTGTTTTCGAGATCTATTCGAACGTCCGGTGATTATAAAGCTTGGTATGATAAAGAATATATTAATAAAACTGATTCTGCTGTGATTTTCATGATAACGTTTTGGTCCTCGATTATATACTGAAGTGGCCAGTGATTCTTTTGACCACATGAAAGTACAATCAGTTCATATGATCTACTTAATGTATCAGTTAATTTTGAAGACAGTCCAAATTTCAAACTCCTAGAAACAAATGATCAGTTTAGTCGCTTTTCCTTGGTTTTTATTAATCATTAACTCGTTGAGCTCGTTGGTGGTTGGGAGACATGTGTCAGCCTTTATTTCGGATTGCTTAAAACTACTAGTTAACTGTAGGATAGTTGAACCCTTCTTAAATGTTCTTCACACGTCTTAACTTATTGTTGGAATGGTTTACTGAAGAATTTCAAGAACAGTTCCGTTAAACCATTTTTAACGCTGTAAATTGAAAGCAAATTTTGGTGCCACATTCATGTTGGGCAAAGATGTTGAATTTTACAAACAGCAACCTTAGAAAATATTAAGATTGTCTTTTAGTATATCTTAATCATAAAATTGTTTTACAATCATATTTAAAGACACGGCTATTTTCTGCGAACAGAAACTGGGATAACGAATTTTATGCAAAACTTTGAATGTACGAAATAGAACCAACCTGCCGTATTTTGTATCTCCCACAAGAAGTTCTGGTGCTCTGTACCATCTGGTGGCCACATAATCTGTATAAACTTCACCGGGTGCAGCAAGTGTACGTGCGAAACCAAAATCACACAATTTGACGACGCCACTACGACTGATAAGAATATTTTCGGGTTTGATATCACGATGAACTATCTACAAGATGAAGCATGATTGTAAAATGTTGTAAAATTTTCAATACTAAAAGTCATTTCACTTTGTGTTCACTGATCTGTTACAACTAAAGTTCCAAAACTAGCTTAGCCTGCTACAGTCTACAAGCACACCTCGTTCTTTGACATCAGTGAAGTGTTTGTTACTTAGTAGTTGATCTTGATCGCTTAAACCTAGCTTCATGGTCTCATCTTCTTGATATGTCACAATATGACAGTTTATGATTATTTGTTTGTTTTAACTTCATTTTACGCTCATCATTTGATAAACATGTGTTCAGATAGTTCCATTAGCAAGTACAACCAGTTTATCCGCAGTTACTTAACAACACATCTAACATAACTAAAAAATCCCACTTCTAGATATTTCTAGCCCAGAATATTTATGCGTAAAAACGTCATTTAAATAAAGTCACTGGTTTCAAGTAGCATTTGTATAAACGTAATGAAGTGTATTTGACTTCAAACAGACAACATATCATTGACATTTACATAATTTTCAAATACTGAATTTTCATATTACAAATGACATAAATTTGAATTTGGCCATATTTTTAGTTTCTTTCGGCTGATTTCAAGTGCACGTAATATGTATATTTGGATTTTTTGACTTACTCATGAAACCTTTATTTACACTGTAAGAGACGATTCAATTTGTGCCTATCATTTAAGAATAACAGAAACTTTATACGATTTTAGAACGTCGATACTTACAAACATGAGCACTATTGATGATGACTGTTCATTGTTAAAATAACTTTTCATGAGGCTGATTGAAAACTTCATCTTCAAACTTTTAGACTCAGTTTTTTGAGCTAACCAATAATTTCAATTCTTGAGGAAAACGCATGTTGATGGACGATACGATTTCTTAAATTCAGGTGTAAAAATCATGTGTTCACTGCAAACAATTGCCAATTTACTTCTAATGGCCCTTGTTTGAAACGCCTAAGCTCCATTTTACTTCACTATGTACCATTTAGTCATGTTATTTAATATCTTTTCAGTTGGATGGCTGAAACTTTCCACAACGACTGCATTCTTGAAGTGTGTGCTTTTATTTTTGCTAAAATCAGCATCGATTTGGGGAAGGAAGGGCTGATTATTGAGATGTAGTAGGTAATCAAGCTCTTTTACCTCTTCGCAATTTGTTTTAACTTGACGAATTTGAAAAATTCTGCTGACCGTAAGCTTTTTAACAAACCGTAGAACGATGAAACATAATTTTAATTCTGTAAGGCTTCACAGATGAATTTTGTACACTAAAAATGAGTTTTTGGATCCATTATCCGTAATCCTCTCATAATATTTCGAAATTTACGAATGATGCTCATAGCTTTGTCTTGATCCTTTCTTCAATCTTGCCCAGGGTTTGTAGAGAGATCCATTACTGATTACGTTGCTTCTTGCCGCCCGTAGCCTACTGGCGCGCTAAAGTTAGCGCTTCTTTGGTCTTTTTCTGAGTGTTCTCTATAGTAGTTTTTACTTCGAGTAGGTCTTGTAGGAATTGGAACCTGTTGCATTCTGTATAAATTGTACGAGCTACTCGTTATTTCAAAGTACAGGGTTTTAAGACGAATTTTCTGTTGCTTAAAAAGTCGTTAGTTAATATGTACCTATAACAGATAAAGTGTTTGTCGAAATCAGCTTAATACAAAAACGTTACTTTTGGAATGCAATGAAATAAAGACTTATGAATACGCTGAGGTGGTAATTACAGGCGCGACTGTGTCTAGGATAGTTATGAAGTTAAAGATATCATTGCAAAGGTAATAAAAGTCTGAAGACCTCTTAACTTTGATTAGCAAATACAGTGCGACAATGTTTTTCTTAATATATTGGACATTTTGTTCCGTACCAACAATAGCACAAGCGAAACTTTTCACTCATAACTTCTGGCTCCAAAGATAGTTTTACAGCTAAAATATTGTGTTTTGAGTTTCTAGCACTAAAAGATCACTGAAAAATAGTCTTATGATGTTTTTCATCATTGAATTGACAAGGTGATACTGTTAACTTACATTGTGTAGATGACAAAATTCCACACCTCGAATGACTTGAAATAAAGTGCGTTTTGTGCGCATTTCGTCAATTCCATTAGGGTGTTTTTCTAAGTCATCTAATATAGTATTGTCCACAAATTCAAAAACAAGATATAGACGTTTCTTTCGTCGAAAAACTTCCAAAAGGTTTACCAAGTTATCATGACGAAGTTGCTAAAAATACTATTTCATAAAAAGATTTACTTTCAACATTCTTATTTCACGAAGTGCTATCTTTTTAACATGTTTATCATCCTCGCTGTCAATGAATTTTTTAATCGCCACAATCCTTCCAGACTCTTTATTTTTACACTTGATAACCATTCCATAACTTCCTTCTCCAACTAGCCCTAGATTTTCGTATTTTTCCATTTATATCATATTAGTTAAAATCCAACAGACATAGCGAAATCACCTTCGTACATACGACTTACGAGGCACAGTGACCGAAGCGTTTAAACAACAAATTCAAATGGTTCAAATGGTTGTGGACGGAATAGAAGAAGCTTTCGCTTAACAGGCTTCCGTGTCTAGTAGCAGGGGATCACCGAATCCTCCAGGCAGGAACCTGAGTATATTAACAATAAAAGAGGAAAAAGAAATTGGTAAATCATAATATGATGCTGTCCTTGGTCCTTATGAATAGGTCAAGTTGCCTCTTGAAGGACTCCTGGGAAGTCACTTGGACTAGCTCGGCTGGCAGCGAGTTCCAGCATTTGACAACTCTTAATGAGTATAAGTTATGTCTACATTCCGTTTTGCTATGTTGTGTCTCCAGTTTCTGTATGTAACCCCTTAGGTTAGTGTTGGATCTAAGCTTAAGTAGGTGTTTGAGAGGATGTCCAGAAGTGTTAAGGATACTGGAAGCCATGAGAAGGTCACCTCTAAGACGTCTATGCTCTAATGGGTAAAGGTTAAGTGCTTGGAGGGGCTCTTCATAAAGTTTAAATTTGATTCCTCAAACTGATTTCATGGCTCGCCGTTGGATACGCTCAAGAGTGTCCGTATCCTTCTGGAGTAAGGGAGGAAATACTATGTTTCCGTACTCTAAATGGAAACAGATAAAACCATTGAAGATTATATGGAAAGTTCTTCCTTCAAACTGGCCAAAAATGTGCTTCAATGTTACCAGTGCAAGGTTTGCTCGGAAGGCATTTTTGTCACAGTTAGCATAAGACTTTAAATCGTAGGGCACCAGGACTCCTAAATCTTTTTCGACTTGGGATACTACTAAAAAGGAGTTACCTAAGTTATAACTGTAGTCTGCGACATGTCGCAGATGGACTACTTTGCACTTTGAAGTGTTAAAGGTAAGTCCGGTATCGTCTGCCCAACTTTGAAGTCGAGTCAGATCCTCTTGAAGTGGTTGTATATCGTCTTGGTTGCGTATATCTCTTTCTAAAGTTTCACGTCATCGGCAAAAAGCAATAAGTCGAGTCAGATCCTCCTGAAGTGCTAGTCCACCTTCATGGTTGAACAATCCTCTTGAAAGCCTTCACATCATCAGTGGAGAGTAATAAGTCAGATGGTACTTGTTATGTAAGATGGTTTATATAACTCAAGAACAGAAGACGTCTTACTACTGAGCCCTGGGAGTCCCACTAGGACATTACATAGTCAGAGATAAAGTGAGTTTAACCCTGACCTTAAATTGTCGATTTTTCAGATATGAAGCGAGCCAATCGATTAGAGGTGATCTGATACCCAATCGTTTGAGCTTATTGATAAGTCATATATGGTTAACCTTATCAAAAGCTTTTGAGAATTCTAGGTAGATGATATCAGCCTTCCACTTGTGATAGAGGATGCTTGTCCATCTGTCCACCGCAGTCAGCAGGTTGGTTATACAAGAGTAACCCTTCCTCAAACCATGCTGTTGGAGTGAGAAGAAATTTAAGGACAGTAAATAGTCATTTATACCATCGCATATCAGGGACTCCATGATTTTTGAAGGTATAGAGAGAAGAGCCACCGGTCGGTAACTTGAAGGTTCGCTGCGTCGACCTCCTTTGAAAATTGGTGTGATGTGAGTCAGCTTCCAATTTTCCGGTAGTTTGCTTCGGATTAGCGAGTGTGAGAACATCACACAGCGGCGTTGTCAGGATTGAGGCTGCTTCCCTCAGAATGGACCATATCTGGGCCAGAAGAAGTGCCTATTCTTAAGTGCTGTAGTTTCCGAAACACGAAGTCAGCGCTTAGGTTCACTTCGGAAAGTCCTGTGGAATTGCAGATGAAACCATCATCAGTAAAATTGATGTCAGTCGGTTGAAATGTCTGAGAGTAATGTTCAGCCAGAAGGTAAGCGGCGTTGCCATTGTTGTTGGTCGGGCCATTAAGACCTAGCAGTTGGAAACTCCAGTTTTGGCTTGTTGAAGAGAGGCTACATAACGGAATGAGCTTTTCGGATTAGAGGCAAATTTTTCCATAAGATTTGTCTGGTACTGAAGCCTATCTTCTCTTATAGCATTCGTGCATATGTTCTTTATATGTTTGTATTGCCTGTACGCTCCGTTGTTGTCAGTACGTTTGTATTCTGCCCAACAGTGCCTTTTGAGGCTTAGCGGGCGAAGGGTACGGTTCTTGATTATTGTAGGTGGCTTGCAGCTTTTGGGAACCGTTTGATGAACTGAATGGTTTGTAGCACATAAGAGCGTGTGCAGTAAGTCTCAAGGACCATCCACATCGAGTTGAGGGTGAACATCCCAAACCACCTGTTGTAGATAGTCGTGCAGAGCTGGCACATTCAAACGTTTAAAATTCCAACGCAACTTATTGGTGGGATAGCTTAGCTCAGTTTTGCTGACAGAACTGAAGGCTATGACGGCATGATCGCTTTTTCCCAGCGGAGACAGGATTCAGAGGTTGTCAACTAGGAATTCTTCGTTTGTGAATACACAGTCTAAGCGCGTTGGTGTCTGACTGTTTCTCCAACGAGTTACCGACCTCATGTTTTCGTATAATCCCGAACTTCAATTGAGTTATCGCTTCCAGCATACGTGTGTTCCGCAAAGTTGACTCTTGGGAGATTAAAGTGCCCTAGAATCAGGATGTGTGCGAAACCGAGACGAGTAGAGTGGGATAGTCCTTCCAGCATACGACTATCGTACTTGATGTCGACAGCTGGCTTCCTGTAAATGGCTCCGACTAGAAACCTCGAAGTACTAGACAATCTTACAAAGCACCATATGGAATCCTCAAGATTGTTAAACTCGAGGTTATGAACTTGGTACACCTCCAAGCAAGAACGTATGTATACGGCTACTCCGCCCTCAATTCCTGTTTTTCTGTCATTTCGGAACAAGGACATGTCAGGCAACGCTAACTGTTGGTCCGAGAACTGAGAAGATATCCAGGTTTCAGATATTCCTATCAGATGGGCTTTATTAACATTGCTAAGTTCACGTAATTCATCCAATTTGTTTAGTAGACTCGTGGCGTTTATGCTTTCGATTTGGAACGCGTGAGCTTCGTTCTGTTTGTCTGTATGAGGCTTTTAAACAAACTGTACTGCACCTCTGGATATTTGAATAAGTATTATCAGCTAGTATAAACTTTTTACATTCTACACGGAGCAGAAATGTAATGTTACATGAGACAGGTCGTCATTTTCGGAAACTCAAATCAGTTATATGTTAAATAATTCGCTTAGTTTTCCTTATCCAGGTTTGACTGAGGTCAAGTGGTTTATTGCAACGAACTATTCGTAAACTTTCGGGCTACGCAGAGTCTCAACAAGTCCAAAGATGCCTCAGACATTCAGAGTTTGATAACGCTATCACATGTAACACGTTTATGACCGAAGTACGCCAACCCAATCGAACCAGAAGTCAGAAATGAAAAGGCTCGAAGATATATTTGAAAAGCTGTCGATATGACGAGAAGAACTTGGTCTTAGCTGACTAGTGGTTGCAAGGGATGTATGGCATGACGTAATCACTCGTGGTATGGTGCGGAAGCGTTACCAAGCGTCTTCAGCTAGGGTGTGCCGAGTAAAACTAATGAGGTCAAAATCAATGTCGAAGATATACAAAACTGTTTATTTTGCGGACTCCTATTACTATAAGCTCAGCTATTACGTATGGCAATTGATATTATCGGTGTTATGCTAGAGGTGGTTCGACATCTCATTAGATCTGCATGATACGCCTGAGCTAAGGTGATAAATGATACTCAGTGGCAAGTATTGCTTCTAATACGGTCCAAAAATGGTTATTCTTGTGAACAACTCTTGAAGCAAGCACGGAGACCTTTATTTCTACTCTTTGGTAGCTCTTAACTTATGTGATTTGAGATTATTCGTACATAAAACTCTTCAACGTCGCGCGGGATCAATTTTTGGTGTCAGCGACTTCACTGAGATTGAAAAACGCTGAGAAATACAAAGAAATCGGTGCCGACTGTCACGGGTTTTGAAAACCCTCCGTTCCTGTCGTTACTAATATATTGAGCAATTGAATTATCCTTAAATTGGATCAGACGTGATCTATATCTAAAATATGTATTGCGAACTAGAACATTCACAAGTATCTTATGTGCATCCATGTTTTTGTGCGGTGGTCGTGGACAAATTTTTGGCTTCTATTGTACAAGGTATAGATAGGCTACAAACTTTATTTAACAGTAACCTGACTTTTAATGAGCGCCTCTACAATATTTGAGAGCTGATGATTATTTATCCCTGTTTATCGGCAGTAACTTGTCATGGATATTACTGAAAAACTTTTGTTGCGATCAATTTTGTATTCGTTGTTTTTTTCTCATTTATTTCCGTAACATGGTGAAGTTATTCGTAGGGGTATTTTAACGACTAGTAGTTGTAATCTTTTTGAATAAAGCCATTTTGCTTTAGAAACATTTGTTAGAAATGATGAGCGTTTAGTTGATCCAATCAAATGTCCTTGTATCGTTCTTGACCCCCCACATTTTTTCCAACCATTCAAAATTCGGTGTTTTCATATTGTGACAGTTCGCTCTCAACATGAGTTTTACCATCATTTTACACTAATATGACCCTAATATCCAGTCTTGCTTTCCTAGAAAGTAACTGGGAAAAGATTACTAATGTTTAAGACTTGACAAAAAAGTACAGCCGATTTCATTATTTGTGGCTTAGTGATCAACTCTCAAAACAGGACTACGCCTACGAAAAGTAGAAAAAAGCGAACTTGACAACATTAGGATCGTCGGACCATGCATTGACACTAATAATAACATTCTGAAGCTCAGCACCATGATAGCATCGATGGTAGTAGACTCCATCAGCAAATGTGAGTCCCTGAATGCAATGATAGCCCCTGAAAACTTTGTAGACGATTGAGTCTCTGCCAACAAAGTTAGAAAGGAATGGTTGTTACTGCCTATGAAGTAGAACAACCCAGGTATTGTAGTGAAATAAACTGGTGATTTGGCCGTACAGTATAATTCTAGACTGTCCAACTAGCCAGCAAGGAACAAAGGAATCTGAAGCGCACTCACCAATCAAAAAGGCCCACAAACTGAACCTACCCGAAAACCTGTGAAAACGATCACAGCTCGCGAAGGTTCTCTTCTATTCATGAATCACAAAGACAACTCTGACCTTCCTCTAAGTGTTCAATTCAGAAATCACAGGATGCTCTGAGAAAACTTAAACAGGAAGCTCGAACTTCACAAATAGAGCATTTGTTGGTCACATAGCACATAGCACACTCTGGGAAAGGACTTCATGCATCAAAATCACCAATGAATATTTCATCCAGCAGTCCTTCAAGCTCAAAAACATATTGACTGAACCAGTGTTGAAACAAGCTAAGAAGAACTGGGGTTCTAGACCAGGCTAATGAAGATAACTTTTTCATCCTTCCACGGGGCGACTGTAACTCTCGAAGCATTTTGTGCCAACAGACGCCAGTTGCCGACTGGAATCCATAAGCATCTCGATAGGCCGCATTATGTCAGGACCATGCAAAAAAAGAAATGGCAGGTTACCATTCCAATTGTAGATCATAAAAAAACGAGGAAAGAACAGGAGCTACTAACTTGGAAAACCCTGTTTAGGTAGGTTACCTGTTCATTCATATAAGACTCATACAGATGAACAAGGTGGGGAATCTTACGTGCTTCAAATTGAAAGCATAAACTTTTTATCCATGAACGCCGCGAGTTTATCGAATAAAATGGATGAGCTGCGTGAACTCAGTAGTGCTAATAACACTCATCTGATAGTAATATCTGAAACATGGATATCTTCCCAATTAACGGATCAGGATCTAGCAATGCCCGGCATGTCTTTGTTTCACAATGACAGAAGAACAGGAATGGGGAGGCGGTATTGCCTTATACCTACGGTCTTGCTTGTAAGTACTTCAAGTGTACAACCAAGAGTTTATCAATCTTGATGAATCTGTATGTTGTTCTGTAAGACTGTAAACCAACTCAATGTGTTTAGTTGAAGTTATCTAGAGGAAGCCCACCGCTGACATGGAGTAAGACAATCGTATGCCAGAAGGATTATCCCGCTCTACTCGTTTCCGATTCACACATATCCTGATTCTCGTAGATTTCAACCTTCCTAAAGTTCATTTCGCTGAACATACGTAATTCGGAGGTGAAAACTACTGAAACTCGCTTCTTCAACCTCATTGAAGCTCAGGGATTATTTGAAAATGTCAAGTTGATAACTCGTTGGAGAAGCAGTCAAACCCCGTCTCGCTCAAATGAAGAATTCCTAATTGACAACATTTTAGTCCTAGCTCCTCCGGGGAAAAGCGATCACGCTGTCATAGCAGTCAGTTATATCAGCAAGAATTTCAAGTTGGATGTACCAGTTTCATCGGACAATTTTTAGTAGGTGGATTGGCAACTTCACCCTCAACTTGATGTTGATACTCCTTGAGATGTCTTACTGCGCTATAAAGCAGTCTGTCCTGCTAACCGCCCGCGAAAGATACAAACAACGTGCTGTCATCAAGACCCGTATTCTTCGTTTGTCAATCCACAGGAGGTAATACTGAGCGGAATACAGACGAACTGGTAACAGCAGCGCATTCAGGCAATTCACAAAAGTAAGGAACGCAGGCACAAAGGCAATAAGAGAAAACAGGATTCACTGCCGGGTAGAGCGTATGGATAAATTTGCCCCCAATCCAAAAAGCTTATTCCGTTATGCAGCCTCTCTTCGTCAAGCCAAAACTGGAGTTTCCCAACTGCCAGGTCTTAACGGTCCGACCAACAACGACGGTGACGTTGCCGACCTTCTGGCGGGACAATAATCTCGTAAATTTCGACTGACCTATACTAACTACATTGATGAGAAATTCACATGCAACTCCACGGGACTTTCAGAAGTGAATTTGAGCGCTGACTCGATGTACCGGAAACTGCAGCACCTGAAAAAGAAACCTCCTGGTCCGGATATGGTCCATTTTGATATACTGAGGGAAGCAGCTTCAGCCTTGGCAACGCTGCTTAGCGTGCTGTTCTCACACTCGCTAAGCCGAAGCAAACTACCGGAAATTCGGAAGCTGGCCCACATCACATCAATTTTAGAGGAGGTCGACGCAGCGAACCTTCAAGTTACCGACCGGTGGCTTTTCTCTCTAAAATCATGGAGTCCCTGATATGCGTTGGTATGCACGACTTTTTATTAACTTTTAACTTCTTTTCACCAGAACAGCGTGTTTTCAGGAAGTAATTCTTCTATGACCAACCTGCTGACCTCAGTGGACAGACGGACGACCATTTTGAGCGCAAGAGCGCGGTTGATGTCATTTACTTTGAATTCGCAAAAGCTTTTGATAGGATCAACCATATATGTCTTACCAATAAGCTGAAACTATTGGGTGTCAAATCACCTTCAATTGATTGGCTCATTTCATATCTGAAAACTTGACATTTTAAGGTCAGGGTTAAATTCACTTTATCTCTGACTATGTAATGTCCTAGTGGGACTCTCAGGGCTCAGTAGTAAGACGTCTTCTGTTCTTGAGTTATATAAACCATCTTACATAACAAGTACCATCTGACTTATTACTCTCCACTGATGATGTGAAGGCTTTCAAGAGGATTGTTCAACCATGAAGGTGGACTAGCACTTCAGGAGGATCTGACTCGACTTCAAGCCTGGGCAAACGACGACGGTTCTAAATTTAAAACTTCATAGTGTAAAGTAGTCCATCTGAGACATGTTGCAGACTACAACTAAAACTTAGATGACTCCCCTCTAGAGATATTCTCGGTTGAAAATGATCTAGAAGTGTTGGTACCCTAAGATCCGAAGTCTTGCGCTAACTGCCACAAAGTGCCTTCCGAGCAAACCTTGCAAAGGTAACGTAATTGAATCGAGAACACGACACAAGTACAAACGAATGTATTGTATTTGGAATTCAAAATCGTGCAATCAACAAGTACAAAGGTATCATTAGTTCGTTCAAACACCACAACATCCTCTTAAACCCCACTCAAGCTTAGTCTTTTGTGGCCCGTTTGATCTGACTTCTATTTAGATCGTACGAATGTTTGCTATCACCTGTTTTCGTATATAATCGTCGACTTAATCGCGTTAGCCAATAACGGAATTAAATAAGTCGAATAACGAGAATTGATTCGTGAATACATATATTTTGTATATGAAGTGAATGAAACAGAGCCAAGCAAAATGACGCACGGGGAGGATGGCTGGGAATCCAACTCCATTTTAATTAAGCGTTACTCAATATTTATAGGCAGACAAAATAAACTACAGACATGTGATGAATCATGGGACATGAAGTGTACACACATATACGCTCATATAAAAACAGTCTAGATTGACAAGCGAATAATTGACAAGGTCAAAGTATGGCTCGAGTAGAATGAATAAAATGGGATGTCCGAAAGTTAGAATAAGGTATATGGGCTTAACATAATAACTGACACTACAAGTCCCAACACACGCCTTAGAGGTAAAACCCAGGAACCGGAGACACAACATAGCAGAACGGACTGTAGATGCAACTTCTTCACCTTAAGAGAGGCCAAATGTTGGAACTCGCTCCTGGATGAGCTAGTCCAAGCGACTTCACATGAGTCGTTTAAGAAAAAACTTGACATATACTTAAGGACTAAGGACAGTATCTTACTGATTTGTCCACTTTTTTTCCTTTCCCGCCTTTATCATTAATATATGTAGGTTCTTGCCTGGAGGTATATGTGATCCACTGCTACTAGATACGTAAGCCCGTCAAGCGGAAGCTTCTTCTATTCCGTCTAGAACCATTTGAAGGCCACCTTTGTTTTGGCGCGAACGTCTGAAATGGAACAATGCAAGGTAGAACGTAGTCTCCATTTGGCACGTCGTCAGCAGTGTGCGTGTTTAATTCAGGAAATTGGGTCAAGGTTGCAAACGTAAGTTTTTACTGAAGTAGTGTGTATCCCTGTCTGCTTCATACAGAACACAGGTGGTCATAAATGCAGGCATATATTACATGCACTACTTCTACGAAGTTTTCTCTCCAGAAACTATCAAACCGATTTTAGTCGCAATAGCTGCCTTTTATTGTGCATGCAAAACAGAGGAATTTTCTAGGAAACTATCTTTCTTGATCAAGGCTGCGTATGATATTTTGAAGAGACCGGCACCTGATGAGGGGTCAGATGCATTCAAGAGACTCGTTCAGAATGTTCATGCTTTAGAGGCTACTATTCTTATGGTCATTGGGTTTCATACTCTTGAAGTCAAACAACCACATGTGCTACTCATTAAGGCGATTCGCGCAAATAAATTCCCGAAGGAAATAGCTCATACGAGCTACTATGTCTGTACTAATATACTGCATCTCACCACTTTAGTATTACGACATTCTGCAGAAGCGATTGCTGCTGCTAGTCTTTACATTGCGGCTAAGTGGAATGGAACAGACATCCAGTCGTCAAACGGGGATTGGTTCCATATTTTTTCCCCGATGCTAACTTTTGAGGAAATCTCTAAAATAACAGACGAATTCACCCTTACTTTCCAAGAATGCGACTTGAAAATCAGAGAGCAGCTGCGCTGTTCGCTTCGAGTAAGTCATTTTACTTCAGATATAGTATCTAGTCCCGAAAGTTACAAAGAGAACGAAGAGATGATCCTGTCAATAATCCTCCTCGAACTCAAGAGCTTCAGAGGAGACCAGTTCCTGATTCTCAGCAAAAAGCTGATTCTTGGAAAGTAAGTCCTAAATAATACTTTTACAGATGTTTCAATGAGTAATCTAATTTATCCAGTCATTTTTGAAGCTCCTGTTTACGGAAAATGGTATCATAGTATTGCATTCAGATTGGGTGACCAGTGGTTTTTGTTTGTTGCAACCCAAGCGTATCTATCTTCGGATTGTATCATCAAAAAGATAAGTTATCAAGGTGACTATTTTCCAACTGGAAACCCGTTTGTGAGTACTGATAAAATTGATGGATATCACCGTCATAAAAACTGAGTTTTAGCGAATACTATCTTCATTGTCGCGTTTATTACCAAACAAATATCAATATCATTTTATGACTAGAGATGGTATAGCTGGTTATAAATCCGCTTGATATTTCTGACAATAGTTTTGATATAATATTTTGTCACGATAAAATGTTCTGGTACCAACGTTTCTTGGAACTTGAACAGAGCCAATGTATCTGTCGAAAAGCGTTTATTTATTTGTTTGAACATATAAATATTGGCACAAAGGGGCACCGAATACATATGGACCATACAAGTCACTTCATTTGTGTATGAGCTGTGATACTGACCGGGTGCTTAGAGCGAAGCAAATGGTTTTCTTAGGGGGTATGCCCGGAGCATTCGATCTTAAGGTCTGGTTCACAAGGCAGTGGAGCAGCGTCAGAAGATGCGTTCACATGGCAGCCAGTGACCAACAATAAGTTCATACTCCATTTGTTCCTTCAGGATCCTGGAGCCCATGTGCACGACTGGTTTGTAATCAGGGCTTTCCAACCGCCCGGTTGAAGCGTCGGACATTCGCTTTTCATCCTCTCAATTTCGTAAACAACACCCTCATCACGAGAACGCAATGAACAGGAATTTCCTGACATTTCAAGAGGGAGAGAGATCTCCCCACCCTCGGCTTCACTTTGGGTGAAAAACGTTAAAGCTAAAAGGTTCCGTTGGGGGATCATGTGGCGAATTCTTATTCACGACTTTATTTATGACGTAGAATTTCTGTTATCACTATTCCAAATGAATGTAGTACACAGATAAAATCAGTGCTGTGCAACTGTGAGGGAGGGAATGGTGATTTCATCTTTGATATGATCCATAATAATATTTGGCAAAAAGTTAATTCACTTGAAGAGAACAGCTAAAACGGTTTTTTTCGATAAGGGGTTCATTTTACTTTTGGAATGTTATAAAGGCTCCAACAGGATCACTTTTCCCAGCCCATGCCCAATCACGTCTCAAGCCAATCAGTTGCATGGTCGTTAGTATTCCATTCACAAGTTCTTGGCTAACCGAAGGAAATAAGCTCTATACATCTATCTTTTATACCACTACGTATTGTTAAGAGCCGACATGCTCCACTTTTCCTACCTAGGTTGAGTAAAAAAAAAACTCAATGTGGAATTCACTAGGTTAACATTTGTAAAACATACGCAAGCCATCTAGTATTCTAAATACTTATGCCTATCGAGTTATTATTAACGGATATGAATACTGTTAAACGTTGGCATTATTTACACATTGTTGTATGCAACCTTTCATGGACGGTGATAATCGAACACAATTCCTGCACATCCTCAGCTTAGAAAGGAAAGATTTCGTGACATTTCCAAGAAGTAGCCTTGGTAATGCTACTTCTACAAACAAAGATCGTCAGACAGTCTTGAAATCGTGCTATTGTAGAATTGAGTTTAAAGTTTTAACGTTAAAACAGCATCCCTACGGTGTGGTTACTGGTTTGATGCATTTATTCAGGATCACCCATATATTAGGTTGTATCTTAAAGAGGCATTCCAACTTGCCTGCCTAATGACCATCTGTTTTTCAAGTTCCTACAATCTCAACTGATGATTTAGGCTTTGACGTTTTCAACCAGTAGTTAACATGTTTAAACCTCACTTTAGGTGCTTCACTTTATTCATCCGGTTAGTATCGTTATTGTTCATTCAAACCAGCTTGAAATCGGGTACATAGAGCTTTACCTGGTAGATGTGTCAGACCATAATTTATATACCTGCTAAGGAACTTTCTGACGAAAAAACATTAATTTCCTAGTCCCAGGATGAAACGTTAGGGTGGGGATAATAATTGGTGTTTCCCGCTGATTATTAGTATTTCCACCAATCTCACCTTACCACAAGCGGAGGAGATTAAGAAGGTACTTGACCCTTTTCAATGGGGTCCTGATGTCGAAATTTGTTATAACTTGTGACCTGTGTGCCCTGTTTATTGTATAAATAACGATACCGGCAATTAGAGAGCAGTGAATTATCGATCGGACCAGTGACACATAAAACCCGTACGAGCAGTCTAGAGTACTTATCGGTCCTGCTTCCTTCCTAGCCCAGCCAGTTAAGTCCAGAACACTAATCTCAGCTTCTGAAATATGAATCATTTCAAGCATATTGCGTTTATATACCAACCAAACAGATCACAACGTACCATAAAATATGAAACAGCATTTGTACAAGAATTAGCCAAATGTGTCTATGAATGAGGGAGGTAGCAATTAATAAACAGGGCATAATTCAAGAATTTTAAATCGTATGATAATAGTTCATAGGTCAAAATAAAGCTCATAATAAGAGGGACATGAATATGAACAGTTTAGTTATTTAACAATCATACGACAAAAATATACGCATATTATTGGTCCATAAATGGATCCCAAAAGTTACCATTCTTTATTCTTATCAGTACATAACAAAATTAACGTTGTCAATCTGGGATAAAGCAAAAAAGTCATAAAATGATCATATGTAACCGACATCAAGTTTTGTGGTCACTTTCTCAGGTTAACAAGTGCTGTATTTGCTAACTTGGTTTATTTTTCTCGATCCGCCAGAAAGATGTGTCCTTGGCTATTTGGGCAGCCGGCAAAATACACTCCTTACAGTTCTCATGCTAACCTTGTTCGTCATCGAAGGTCTTCTTTTTATTATATTTCTATTTATACTATTAATTCACTTCAACCTAGTTTTTTTCGTCGCGTGTCCAATCGGGCTAATGATTCACGCTTACTAATCGCTATCCCTAGTTTCACTAAACCGCTCGATGATATGTGTTTAACCTTTCCGTTTTGACTGTAACAAATAGGATAATAGGCTCATTTTATTGTGGTATATCTGTAACTGGTGTACAAGATCTCAGTGTGATTATCCACTTATCTTCATACATCCAGTGTACGAAATAGGTACGGTGCATCTTTAGAGTCGTTAGTGACTCGTGGTTTTCCAAGTGTAGGTAGATCGTTGGATTCGAGAGCAGGACATACACCCCTTGACTGCATACTTGTTGACAATCGCTTGTGCCTTATCAGATTAAACAGGACAGTACAAACACAAAAAGGGTGTATAGCAATTGCGTCCAAACTATTGGTTTCCGTCATAGTTCGTAGGTTGTTCAAGATCCAGAAACGATTGACTCGCAAGTAGCAGATTGATTTTCGTCCTAGTCGAGAGTGTTTTTATCATATCTTCACCCTTCGCAAAATGTTAGAACACTGTCGTACTTATATCAAACCAACAATCGTAGTGTTTCTTGAATTCAGGGGCGCCTTCGATTCGTTGAATAGGACTGTTCTCTGATATCATCTACCGAAGAAGGGTGTGTTCAAGGAGTTTATCAACGTCTTGAAAGCTCTATATGCAAACTCTTCCATTGTTTCATTAAAGCTGTGAAGTTGGGTTGCTCAATCTTATCATTTTCTACAGTTTCGCCATATATGACTTTCTAGAAACAGCTCTGATGGATTTGGGTAATCGTGATGTGGGTCTGCTGCCTGAAGAAAATTTTTTCGGAGTATGCGGATGATATTCTCTCACTGTGCGACGATATCCAAGCCATGGAATCCACACTTAATCAGTCTGCCTAGGTATTTCCTACGACTAAATTACTCCCATTATTATTATTTCACTCCTATTCACCTGTGCTCTTTTTCTATCTCTTCACAACCTCATTATTATTGTGTAGCCCATGTTTGTTATGTTGTCTCCTAGCACCAAGCTTTATGTGCTCATAAAAATAAAAGTGAAAAATAAACACTGTAGAAGTCATTAAGATGTTCACTTTTCAAGTAAGTGGTAATCTTGCTCAAGGATAAATCTTTCCCGGTGCTGGAAGCTCTCCAGAAAAATGAAGTAAACGATAAAAAAGATATATGAAAGGATACTAATCGATATAGACCAAATAGCACGGCAAATCATTATATTCATATTTTATTGGAAGGTATTTTAGAACAAGATAAAATGAATATCCAAAAGTACTACCATGATCAGTGTTGAACCATTTTATCAAATCTCAAATTTCTTTAAAAATAGTTCCAGGGTGCCTTAGCTGACTTATAACTACTTATTTATGAATCAATGAAATTGTGTATTTTCCTAGAATATATTAAAGTACTTCTCTGTTTCTTAAACAGAAAAGCACAAAAATAACTTTATTTCAGTTGAAACTGCTCCAAAAGCTCCAGTTAACCGTTTTTGTAACAAGTAAAATCCAATACATAAAATCAATGAGAGATTGGCAGATATTTCAGTGAATTGCTACTTATAATGATTTCCAATGGCTGCCTATTTTACTTTGCTCTTTTTAACGTAGACAGAGAAAAGACCTTACGGTTCGACAAATCCTAGTGCAGCTCAAGTCCCATCTCAACATCCAAATCATCATGCTCGAAGTCATGCTGGTGGCTCCCAGAATACACAGATGAATCATCCGTATCATGGACAAAATCGGGCCCCACAATCACATGTTTATGGGAACGAACATTTCAATAGATCTCATTTCAACCGTCCTCCAGGTCCTGGGAATAATGAACCAGATCCTAAGCGTCAGAGATTTGATCGCCCATACCCAAATCAGTGTCAACGATCACCACAACCCCACTTGCCTGGTGGACATCATCCCGACGGAACAGCACGTGTAAGTCATATGTATGTATGTCAGTCGTGATAATTTGACTTCTATCACTTTACTGGGAAGGTAATGGAATTTTAAATAGTGTTTAAGTTTGAAGCTTTTGGTATACTATTTTGATGAATATGAAGTAATAACTTTGTATGATAACAAAATTGTCATTGGTTCGTTCCCTCTTGTAATACGTTATTTTTTGATGTTTCCCATGACCATCCTTATACTGTATATATACTTTTGAGTTGTGTGTCTGTTCGATCGTGCTTCCGACTGCTTGTAGAATATACTTTTCTCTCGACCGAATCTGGTCTTCTCTCTAGTTACCAGGGCTGGGGCGCAGTGAATAGTTTAGCTAGTTTCCTCGTTGTCTTGCTGAATCTTCGTTTCGTTCGCCGATTTCTGCTGATTTCGTAATCTCTTCAAATATAGCAAAGAAAAGTACCTCTTCGTTATTTTCTCCAATGCATTCGTGGTTAATGGTCTGCAAAGCATTTTTGGGATCCAAACGTCCACTGGATATTGTGACGTTAACTTGAATACACAACTCAACACTTAGTAGTTATGAATAGTCATTTAAGGCATATCCGAATATGTGTATAAGTCATTTCAAAGGATTCTATTATTCCATCTAGAATTTTTGATGATCGGTACGTACAATTACAAAACGCAAATAGCGTGTATTTCCACTTCATCTTATTAAGGTTCTGTTCATAAACCGTAAATTATTTCAATCTTGGTAAAACTAAGTAATCTTTGAGGGTTCTGATATGCTGGTAACATAGAAAACTTCATAAATTCTATACTAAGCAGGAGCGGGAATATGAAATGGAATATATGATAGTCAAAAGCTATCTCTTTTAAGTGAAAAACCAGTGGTAAACATCTTATGGAAATTAGATAATCTAATTCATTCTATCAACTTATTGATACATCATGGATGGGTGTTAGAATAAAAAGCCATACTTTTCTGTTGGTTTCTTTTTAGTCAACGGTAGACGTGTTTGTTTGGATGTTTGGTTGCTCATTTACTAAAATATTCTCAATTTTTTCCAAATATGTAGTGGTGCAGTCTGATTAAATAAATAAAGTTTTATTTGCTGTGTTATAATCGGGTGCTAAAAAAAAACAAATTTATTAAAAATTCTGGTGTTCATTTTACAAATTATTTGTACTTACATTTTCATATTACCATTATTCAGAGTAAGAAATAACTACGAAAAAAAACATGTATAACATAAGTGGCGATCATATAATCAACATATACTATAGTTATGGCTATAACTAGTAGTCTATAAACGTCTTATTGCATGAAGTAATGTCTCGATGTTTCTCTTACTCTTCATAAATTCAATTCCATTTAAAATTTATAAAAGAGCTTACTTCAAATTTATGATAGTCAAGATAAGAGTAATGCTTAAACTAATAGTGTAATAATGATGGATAGTGGCTAGCAGACTAATCAATTGCAGTCTTAAGTCTCAATGGGAAGATACAAGCCAAAATGATACCAAGTGAATTTAAATTCACCCCGTTGGACAAGCAAGTGGCTATCAGGACTCAGTAGCTGAGTGGATAACGTGATGGCGTTTGAGGCGAATGGTACTGGGTTCGAGTCCCAGAGTGAACATCAACTCTAAGATGCAGGTACATCCAGCTGATGAGTCCCAAATAGGATGAAACGCGCGTCCTGGATTCCACTGCCAGTCGCTATCCATCATTGCTTAAAAAAACTTGTGAATTAAGGCAATATCGAGGCATACACACAGTATGCACATATGCCAATAACAGACTGATCAATTGCAGTCTTAAATCTCAATGGGAAGATACAAGCCAAAACAATAATAAGTGAATGTAATAGTGTAATATTCTACAATGTTATATTAAAATTTTACGAACTCATTATTTATACGCAATGTACAGTTTTTTTTTCAAAAGTATTTTAAAGTAAAAAGATTAAACCAATAAAATATTTTTGTGTTCGGTAATAAATAACACAAATTCTTGTTATTACGGAATAATCTTTTTTTATTGATTTCATGAGATCTGGGGTCAACTTTTGATAGTTTAAGTAACAATTAAGTCATTATTTTTTCTCTAAACATATTCTTTCAAAGAATATGTCACTTTATTTACAATGTAATCAAATAGAGAATAAGACGGTAGTAATCAGCTTATCAATTAGAACCAAAAATCTCTATCTTTATGACTTAAGTATATTCACAATTAGAATTGTAATCAAATGAATTTATATGACAAACATGAAAAAAGTTTTTTATCTAGTGAAAAAGTATAATAATAAAAGCAGGAAATCTTAAACCTTGAGTTTATATGGATTTGAATTCGTTAGAACGTATCTATACTACTGAAGGAAGTGAGTATTCAAATTCGTGTTAACAACCGTCACTTTTTTAAAAATTAAAGTTACTCAAGAATAGCTAAAACCAATCAGTAGTTATTATGTTTAATTGGCACTATGCAACGCAAGTGATGTTATCTGGGGAGTATGTTTCAAGTTCGGAATCATGGAGTTAAAAGTCGACTTCTAAATCATACCTCCACTTTTTACTGCCCATATGTTTTGCATTAAATTTATCATATTCGTGTAGAGAATCCCAATTTCGCGTCATCTATTATACTTTTAAAAGCTGCATAGTATTTCCTCATTAATAATTGTTAATATGCAGCTGATATAGATTATGAAGCCAGACTAAGAAAGGACATAAAAAGAAATGTCTTTTCACTATCACCTTATACGACCCAATAGATGGTCACCTGGATAGAACCGAGGATGAGTCCCTTCACCGACGGGATTACCTTTTGTGATATATGGAGACTTCAATACGTAGGCCAGATGTTTAAGTACAAGGAAGTTATCCAAGAGGTTGACAAGTGCTTGTTGTTCATAAGTCTAATTTTGTTCATTCACGACGCCGGATACAGTCATTTTCGATATATCAATTTGCTTTTTTCCTTTGTAGCTCAATCCTTTATCCAAAGAGCTCTAATCGCAACTAGCTGCCAATAGTGTAAATATCTGGAAGGTTTCTGATCTTCTAGTATCACTCGTCTGTGTTCTATCTGTGATCTAGTACGTTCTGAGTTCATTGAGTGTCCCAGTAGTCCAAGTATGGCGAATTTCAGAGTAGCTCATGCTAATCTGCTTCACATTAATGTGATAAAAATATATAGTGTACCTAACGCTGTAGTGTCAGTATCGCTTTTCCGAGCTAAGAATTCTTAGTGACCCTGTGTTCGATCGTCTTTGCTTACACAAGATGGCAATACCGAATAGCGGCTAGAGATAATCATGCTCTCGTTTCCTTTAATGTCCCAACAATAGTATTTTCATCTTGTTCTTAAATATATCTCCACTTTATTGTTGAGTCTTTCTTTTGTTTTGTGTGGTGCATTTCTCGATGCTTTGTTTTACCAAGTCGTTTTTAATATTCAGTAAATGAATGTCCTGCTCGTATACTATAAGTATGGTCCATGATCTAGTGTAATAAAACTGTACCTAATGAGTCACACTAATTTGTAACGTATATTACTATGTAATCTTACAAAGTAATTCCATAATTGCCTGAAGTAATTGGGGAGTTTATGGTAAATATGTTTGAAGCACTTCTACTTATCAGTCAGTCATAATCAACTAAGAAACTGGTACATGTATCTATCGGTTAAACTTGCCACATCATACAACTGTGGAATGAAATTACCAGAACAAATAGAAGGGTAGCAAAAGTAGTAACAGTGTCAATGGTTGTAGTAAAAACTAGAGTTAGGTAATAAGATTCGAAACGAAATAGTGAGTTCGCTGAATAAAAGTATGAGTTGATTCTAAATTTTACGATCTAAGGGAAGACAAAGACTGAATACACATATACCAGTGCGGCCCATTTTAAGTTATATCTTTCTTCGTCTCCAATCGTTGGTTACAATAATTGCACGAATCTCGATAAGGTAGTCTAAAACTACAACCACGGCACAATCTAACTACTAGTGACTTCATTGACTGTTGCCACGTTTCGATTCTATCTCCTCTAGCTTTCTTCCAACCTACTCCTACAATAGCCAATATGAAATGATTGTAGGTAACGGTCCAAGTTAAATAACAAATATCTGAACCATAGGTGATTCGGACATGTACTACATATTTATGGTAGATGTAGACTATTTGGTTGATGTCCACCTGGTGACCCCCAATCAGCGACTCGAGACTTTGGATAATATAGCTCAGGACCGTTCACAACAACGCAGATGCATTCATCTCTTATTTACTTCTCGTTCTTGAATTACAGTATCCCTTTATTCATACCTTCTCTATCTTTCTAAGCCGTATTTTAAAGGTTTGATTTTTCATTGTTACATTGTCTCGATCTCTTTTTTGGTTTTCATTTTATTGTGCTAATCTGGTACGGCAACTTGGTTTAGCATATATCTTTGCTAGGTTTTATTTTGATACTTGTCTGTCCCAACAACCTCAGTTGAGAAAGATTCACAACCTCATCAACTGGTGTGTCGTGTTTGCTTAATAACCTTCGTCTAACCTCAACATTACTTACTTGGTAGTTCCAACATACTCAAGCCATGCCTCAAACGGATCATTGATTAAGTCCCAGTAACCCACGAACATTCTCTTTTTTTGAAAGTCACGTTTCTCAGACGGAAGGGACGAAACGAACTGCCAGTCCTTTGGCTAGCAGATAAACACACCGCTTACGTCACAGGTGACCCAGACTGGCGAAGAAACCTATTGAGCTTTTGAATTCGATCCGAATTTCCACATACAATTAGTTTTAATAACATTTCTTTATATTTTTTCACTCGCATTCTACGGGTATATATTCAACACTAACTTCCTTATAGTTTGTAGCGTCATGATAAAATTAATAATTACATAGAAAGGGAATGAAATAGTCTCAACAAAAGTGAATAATAAGTTTACAGTCTTCTTAGACACACTCACTATAAGTTTTCTTTTTGATAGATAACTAATGAATTTTAGGTTTTACATTCACTGATTTTTTAACATTAAAATTAAGTAATTAGTTCAGTCAGGTGTTCAAGAAAAGTTTGGTCGCAACATACACATATACAATTTATCATTTATGCTCATTATTCTTTGTCTTTGAACTCTGTAAATAAAGTTGTGATTTACAAGATAATTTACTATTTCTACGTCTTGATTAAGAAAGGTCGTTCTTGGAATGCACTTTGCACTTCTTATACTAGTAATACATCAATTGAACAGTTTTAATAATTAGAAAATATTCATCACAGTTGTAATGAGAATACTATTTGTAGTAATCACCAATGTGTATGTTGATCATTTCAGAGCTTCGGTTTATTTAGTTAATAAATATTTCTATTTCAAACTCATTTTCTGTACTAACTTGAGTATTTTCCACACTTATAATAACACTAAGGTTCTAGCTTTTGGAATATTTTATTGATAGTATGAAGTTCTTACGTGAAGAAAAAAAACTAACTTTGTCGTTATGAGATTTTTATTTTAAACTTCATGGCTTCATTTTATTATATCAGTTTGTACATATTAGCATTTATTCATCAAGCGTAAATTACAAACTCACATTCTAAACGGCTTAGTTGTTGAAACCCTAAAATTGCGTTACGATTTGGTAATCCACTCTATCTACTGTTTGGACAGGTTAGCCGTATCTATAACTCTTAAAAATCAGTCTATCTAAGCGATCACTTAGGTCTTTAACCTGTTACTGTGTTGCATTATTTTTGTATTGTTTCTCATGATATATGGTTTTTGTTCGTAGTACATTTATCATACTTTTACGAAAGCTTACCTACAAATAAATTTAGGCAAGTCGTATGGAGAGTTCTGTCTCTCATTCTGGAGGTGGCGAACACAAAGTACACTATCCATCTGCTAATCGTATCCATGGAACAGATTACAGGATGGCACAATCCAGTGGTTACAATGCTGTTCCGAATAAGGTTTGCAAGATTGATCTTAAAATCTTATTTGTTTTTTGTATTGTGATATGTATTCATAATTTCGCTACACAAGAGCATAGATTCCCTTTTCGTTGCAGCTATTGACAGTTCATAAGTATAAAATTACAATGACGAATATACTTCCACTTTTTAGTAAATAAAGTTTATAAATAAAATCGTGGCATGTTATACATATGTATTAGTGGAGGTCTTTTGTAATTTAAGTGGGCATTTGATCAGCCTTCATCTGTATATTCTTATTGAGCGTGTATATAATATATATATATATATATATATATATATATATATATATATACGAAGTAATGGTCACTGAGTCTCACTTTTAATGAAAGCATCATAGCTAAAATGAAAACAAATTTGTATGAATAGTCATAAGTAGATTAAGCTGCACATTTTCGATCCGTTTACTTGGCATTATCAGCTTGCAAATATCACCTATATGTACACGTTCATTCATAGATCCAATATTATAACGAAACCTGATAAACTTAGTACCACAATATCAGTAAGAACAAGATCAAAACAACAATTTATATAAGTTATGTTTCTGCTCAAGGCTAGTCAACAACTTATAATAGTTCAGATTTGTTTCTTTACTTTGGATTTCATATTGTTTTGCATTACACTAAATGTATCATAACAACCATATTTTATTATTGAACTAATCAATAAGTTTTTTATTTATTTAGTGAATCCTTTCGTAGGTAATATGGTCTATTGTTCTTTCTCGTTCAAAGTTCTCGATGTCTAACCACAGTTGTGAACGCGTTTTATCTTTTTATTTCTTAAAAGCAACCTTATGGACGAGATGAACATGAAGACTCACGTCTTAACTCAGGGAATCTTCGTTCTGTAAAACCAGCTGGTCATCCACAAGGAAACACACGAGTGAAACCTGATCTAAATGACTATTTTTGAGTATTTACTGGATTAATATAGTTTTACATGGTGTTTTTTTGTCACATTCCGAAATTTCCGTATACAGATAGCGTTGTACATATGTCAAACTGCTTTTTTCCGTTTAAAACTATACCTACTTGCAGTTTGTTGACTCAAAACTGTCAGTTCCCCTTTCGTATTTGTCTAGTCTTAAGATAAACTGTAAAGTCTTTCTTCTCCCATTACTGTGTTTATCATTAGTGCATGTTTTTCTTGTTTTCGCGTAAGAATTTTTATATTAATTGCTTTTATACGAATGGTTCGGTACTTTTGTCTATTTCTTACGACATTTGTGTAGCTATTATTGTTCAATGTATATTACCAATTTTCTTTATATTGCCATTTATTTTGGAGTACATTGAACCATAAATAATACTTTTCGGTTACTAATAGATTTAAGGCTTTGTTAATGTGCGCTGTACATGATGTGTGATACAACCAATTACTAGTTAGTGTATTCAGGTTCCGGTCACGGATTTCTATATGAGATCTGATTTTTGTATACGCTGTTTAGATACAAATACCACATTATGGCTGCCAACTTTATGAAGTTCAGGTGACTGGTCTACTTCAAACCACGCAAAATAGAAATCCAATCTTGTAATTCTAGAATCTGATCTTAAAAAACGTCGGCAATAATTCTTCTAGGTGGTTTACCTATGCCGGTAACTGATTCTTCGTTGGTAAATGTACACTACATTACTTACAATAGGCCAATGCCCTTCATCCTTATATCAATAATATTTATCGGGGGCTGCTCTGTGTTGAATCTCTATTTTCAGGGTGTACATATATGATGTATTTATTTACATTTCTATCATCAGAAATTTACTAACCACCTGCGGTGACTTCAAAAAATATCCTTACTAATTACTAAATTGTAAAACTAGGGGATCTGCCCGTATAAACACAGCCATTCTGAACATTGTATCTGTTATAGAAACCCAGTATATTCCTCGAAAATAGTTCATTAAGAGCTTGAAAACATTTTATCCAATGAACGTTGAGTAGAAGTGACTCAGAAACATCTAGGAGTCACATAACTGGCTTGGTGGATATGTAGTGGCATTGGACCATAACCACACAATCCTCAAAGCTGAACACGAGACTACTCGAAAAATAGATATTCAATATTAAACGCGGAGAAATACCTAACGATGGAGAAGGCGCGGACAAGGAATTGAATGAATGGGGGTTGATCGGATGACATGGCTCGGCCATGCAGGCGTGGTCCCTCTGAATGTTACCTTATATCTTCTATTCATATTAAATATATTGTTCCTTCTCTAGCCCAACCTTGTTCTACATCATGTATTGGTAGTTGATACGATACAGTGAGTTGGTGTAGTCGATGGTGTGACTTCCACGTAAGATCTTAAAGATTAAGCAGTTATATCATGACAAATCTACAAATTTAGGATCAGGTCTATTATTAGAGCAGTACTAATATCATAGTAGACCATAATTCCACAGATACATATCCTGGTACTATTTTGAGTGGGGTTCCAGATGAACTTGAGCATCTGGAAAGCTATGGGTACCCACAATTTTATGTACATGAACTAATATCGGAGTGAAGCGTCCGTCTAACATTCCGCGCACTTTTTCTTCTATTCAAGTTATGTACATTAGACTTGGGCTATTGAAGCAGCTCAGGGTACCTATGTAGTCAGAATATTCGTTAGTGTTGTCATACTTTGTTATTCATAAATTTCGTTGGATTAATGCGTTGGCAAGTAGGACAGATTCCAGTTGTGATAAAATTTATTAACTGAAGTTAACTTTCCATTCCTCTTATCTCTTATTCGTAATATTGGTATGAATACATCCAAAGCATGATGTAAATATTATTGTGGAATATACATTGTCATATGATCTGCTTGTCACCCGCTCATGTCTTTCTATTCATTTGGATCTATTAGTTCACATTTAGTTTGCCGACCAGTACTCAATATGCGCTTGTTATATTACTTATGAATTGAGTGCATTCACTAAAACCATTCGCAATTGATTCCAAAGTTAAGCTTTGATAACTGCTTTTACGGAGGCCAAGTATCGTTAGTAGTTCATTTGTATGTATTTTTTAAAGAAATGAGTTCCTCTTCTGTAAATTCTGTTATTTAAGATAACGGAAAACTAGTATTATAAGGTTTTCTACAAAAATCTGGGACAGAGAACTGTGCATTCTGATGATGTAAACTTTTCCTTTTTTTAAGGAGGTTGTGAACGAGGAACCTCTAAACGAAGTAACAGCTACAAATCAACATATTCCTCAAAGTATCTTAATTCTGTACACTGATGTAAAAATGTCCATTGAGTGTAAGCAACCATAATCACAATCGAATCCCAGGAGCAGTGATTTCGATCAGAAAATATAATTTTGCCTGCTATTGATATCTAGTTGATAACTTTTATCACTTGAAGTATTTTGTAACCCGGCTGTTTGTAGTGTTTGATTATTTTTCCGGTCAGTTTTGTATATATTCCTATACTTGACCTGTATGATAGCGTGTAAATCAAAGTAGTCTTCGGTAATCTGAATTATTTCAGCACTGATTAGGCGTGGTATTCTCGCTAACTGATGATTCTCTTGTACTTGCTTGTACACTTATTATGAATTCTAAATATATTACATTCGGCCGTACTCATTTAGTTTTAACTATCTTAGAATACACTGTTCCAAATATTCCTCGTAAGCAGATTACTTCGAATACTTCTCAGTATCGCACTCATAACTCGACAGCAGTTCCGAGAAATGATCAGATAATTTCGGTGTTTTTACAGTGATTTCTACGATATCGTGTGAAACGTTCGACTATGCAAAACAGGCCACCGGAATTATTCCGTGCTTAAGAGGGAGAACCTGAAGTCATCTTATAAGCATATTCAGAATGAAAATTATCAGTGCTTCACCAAACAAACCATAAGCTGAGTTAATTATCGCAATGTTGCAAACAAATCTGAAGAGTCTATACTGATTTCCTGGACAGTATATAAATTAATAACCAACAACGTAAACACTGAGATGTTAAAGAATGTGGAAGCAGACAATGGCAATTTAAAGGTCGAAAATAACTAATCGAGGTCTACAGGACAAGCTGTGAGTCATATGTGGAGAAATTCGAACACCTCACTTCTACTTGTCCTGAAGATCTCGTGTAGAAATACCATAAAAGCTGTACGACCAAAGCATCCTGATCAGGGAGAAAATTTCAACTTGAATCCCTCACATGAACTAAAAAAATCTTTATTATCTCAGAATCATATCAGCGCAACACGATTCTCATTGTTCAATAAAAGGAGACTTTCAACAAACGACAGGCTTCCACTCGAGAACAGTTGTATCTTATCCACGAGTGTTTACATTAGTATGTTCCTCCGACAAGTGTAAGCCAAAGGCCACCTATCAACTCCCCTGTGTAAAGGAGGATAGGTAAACGAATTGGAATTTAAATGGTACTACCTAATTTTGACTGATGCATACTACGGGATACACAAGTATAAATTATCCGTGGATAACCAGAAGACAAAGTTGGAGAGAATATGCACATCAGGACACTTAGTAATCTTGACAACAGCCATAGAGATATAATGCAGACAACACAAATGACAGAAAAAATCCACCCTCAAGAAAAGACCAATTAAGGTTTCAAGACAACCAATGGAGCCAAATACTTTAGTCAAACATTTCATCACGTCCGGTTGTAGTACTCTCTGGATCACCAACACAATTTGTGATGACGAATTTCACGAATATTAAAACATTTTGTGGATTCTTTCAATCACTTCATTCCATCTCCTATGCAACTACCGGATAAGTATAAGAGAGCTCTAAATTACGTCGTCGAAGTGAAGATATTCTTTGGTGTATCAGCTTTAATCATCTAAATTAAATCAAGCTTGGAAAAGGAAACTCTATCCTTGCTCTTCACCAACGACACAAATCTCGCAAAGAACACGGAGCTTCAATGTCAAAGTTTACTAGAATTCAATTATTTATGCTTAACAATACGTTTTCAATTCAACAACAACATCTACAAACAAACGGGTGGAACATCAATGAGATAAGTACAAGTAAGTTACTTACTCAATACTTATGCCTGTTACTCCCAATACAAGCATAGGCGGCCGATCATCATTCTCCAACACACTCTATCCTGAGCCTTCTTTTCCAGTTCTATCCAATTTAGTTTATTTTTCTCACGTATGTTTCCTTTTCTCGACGTAATGTGTTCTTTGGTCTTTCTCTTTTCCCATGGCATTGAGGATTCAATGTGAGGGCTTGCCTTGTGACGCAGTTGGCTGCTTTCCACAGTGTTTGTCCCCTCAACTTACAGAGCTTCTGCCTGATTCCTTTTCCTAGTGTGATCTGGTTTGTTCTCTCCCATAATAGGTTGTCGCTGATAGTATCTAGTCAACGGATCCGAAGTTTTTTGCGTAGACAGCTGTTAATAAACACTAGTACAAGTATGTGGCCAAGTAAAATGATTGTAACAAACTCGCAATGTTAAGCGAGCGCAAGCAAACCATTTGATTTACACTAGTTAGACCCAAAATATTGGCTGCTGTATATTTAAATTGTTTAAACGCACTATATAATTTGAAAGCTATGGTGACTTATTGGTAAGTTGTTGAATCATCACCTACTTCTATCGAGTTGTTGCTTCTTCGGAAAAAGAAATCTAACATTAAAAAAACAATTCGTTAACCACAATTATTTATGTGATTTTTCACTGAATATTGTCTGAGGAGCAAAGAGTAGTGAGTAATTGACTAAATGGGTCAATATACTTAATTGGGCGATTGAAACGAGTCTTGAGTTTATTAACTGAAGGACAAATACTTTTCTCATCTTTGAGATTACCCTTATGACGATGGCAGCCTTCTTATACAGGTTCTTTCTCCATTTTCTAGATAAACAAATATTTCATTTACTAAATTTCATAAAAGCAAACACTTTAGGTTATGTCACTTATCATTCCAGAGTTTTCTCCTGAAAATTTTTGTGCTGGAATCTGTATTAAAATCAGTTACATACTTACTTATTCGGCTTGTAGAATACTGTGAAGCAAACAACACAAATGTTAGGATATGTCTTGAGAAGGCCAAACTTATAGAGATTGCTATTTATATCTCGTTGATAATGGTGTTTGCAAAAGCGTAAGACTTTGTGTTGATTTTGACGTTTGTTACACTAACCTTATATCTAATTATTAGTTTTGGGAATAAAGGCGAACATAAGAGACCTTTGTGGTTACGCCAATGGTGTTTTCAAAGTTGAATCAAAATTAGACAGTTCTGTGTGCATTTAGGTGGAAAATAGGCAATTTGGCGGATATTTCGGCAAAAAGTAGACAATTTAGCGAGAAAAAGGAAGAAATCCGCATTATTTT